AGTTTCCGTCAATACCGCCACTCGTTTCTCTCAGGCACTTAGATGCCATTTTTGAGCCTGCAAATTTGCGTACTTTGAACTACTTTCTTCCAGTCGCCTGAAATATGTCGAAGAAAGAAAATGAGGTCGACTCTGGGCCATCTCCTGTGGACTACGCAGCAATAGTCGCGTCCTGGTCCCCCGAGGAGAGGTCTGAGAGGGAGAAGAAGTTTGTCCGAAAGATCGATTGGAGATTACTGCCGATTTTGGTTAGTGAAATCGAGACTTTGGCTTGATAACTTGGGCAAGATTACTGACTAGCTCCTTCCAGATCATTGTGTACATCATGAACTACATCGACAGGAATGCTGTTCGTAAGTGCCTTTCACACTATGTATCTGTGCTCTGCTTCGTCAAGATTGCGAAGACGGAAACATCCGATGCAATGCTAACTCGATGTCTTGCCATAGCTCACGCCAGAGTTCAGGGCCTCGAGAAGGACCTGAACATGTCTGGTTATCAGTACAACATTGTTCTCTCGGTGACCTTTGTCGGATACATCTCCATGCAAGGTATGTACACCCCTCGGATCATCTTTTGGCAACACTAACCCTATTCAGTGCCCAGCAATATGATCCTTACCAAAGTTCGGCCCAGCTGGTATCTCTCTAGGTGCATGGCAGCATGGGGTATCGTGAGTGGCCTGTCAGGGGCAGTCCACAATTTCACCGGTCTGGCTGTCAACAGGTTCTTTCTGGGTGTTACTGAGGTTTGTTTTGTACTCGCGCCTTAGCCTGAGGTACATGAACTAATCATATTACATAGGCACCCTTCTTCGTTGGTTGTGCTTTCTTATTTAGTGGATGGTACACCCGAAAAGAGCTCGGCCTGCGACTAGGAATCTTCTACTCCGCCGCGATGATATCCGGCGCTTTTGGAGGTTTGTTCGCTGCCGGCATCGCCGCTGCCTTTGCGAACAACCGACTCGAATCATGGCGCTGGCTCTTCATAATCGAAGGAATTGCCACGGTTGTATTTGCAGCAATCACCGCCTTCGTGATCCCCGACTGGCCCAGTACGACAGAGTGGCTTTCTCCCGAAGAAAGAGCCCTCGGTATCGTGCGCATTATTGAGGATGCCGGTGAGGAAGAGGAAGATATCAGCACCGGGGCAGCCTTCAAATTGACAGTCAAGGACTACCGCGTCTGGCTCTGCGTGATTGGGCAAACCTGTCTTCAAGCCGTGGCCTCTCTCACCAACTTCTTGCCCACGCTGGTTCAGAACTTTGGCTACAGCACTGTGCATACTCTACTCCTGACTTCCCCTCCGTATCTGGCAACTGTTCTGTTTTGTCTGTTCAACACGTGGTACTCGGACCGTACCTCAAAGCGATCGCCTCACATTATGTACCCCTCCATGGTCGCCGCAGCAGGCATCATCATCACCATCGCAACTACCAACACTGGAGCCCGGTACTTTGCGTTGTTCCTCATGTTGCCTGGAACCTACGGCTGCTTCCAGGTATCCAATGCATGGATGGCCAATATTGCCGCTCGCCCGCAGAAGAAGAGAGCCATTGCCCTGGCGGTCAACAACTCCATCGGTAATCTGGCTCTCGTGTGGACGCCTTACCTGTACCCGTCAAGTGCGGGACCGCGTTATATCGTGGCATGGTCAGTTAATCTCGCCATGACGGCTATCATCGTTGTCAGCACACTCATCTTGACGATATGCTTGCGGAGGTGTAACAAGCAGATGGACAACTTGACAGACGATGCGACTCTTGAGCAAGCTGGTGTGGACGGCAAGGACCACAGTACCCACATTGAGGAACGGAGTGACACGGGTCATGCAGGAGGACGGCAAAGCAGATCCCGAGCGACGTGGAAATATCAAATCTAGGACACCGATACCATAGATGAATCTGATCATGCCCTGCAAAGAATCGGGCCATCCACGATGAAGACTGTTGCGACAAAGGTATTATCAATCCGGACTAGTCCAATCATGAGTTGCAGAGTACATGAACCCAGGCGGACTTAACACCGGCACACACACCTGTCTGCAGCCAAGATGCATGGACGCTAACCCCGCGTTTCTCTCTGCCGAATCATACATGGTGTGTTGGTGATCCCCATTCCCCCGCCCTGTAGCCCGGCAGTAGTCTTCCTATCCTCGGGATTTCCCCGAAGACCCGATGCTGCAGACCTGGACGAGAAACCAACCATCAATTCATCGGACGAAGGCCGTGATGTCCGACAAAAGTGCGCGCAAACGACGCAAGAATTCAACGAATAGGAACACAACATGCCATCACCAGCCTCCTCACGGCGCGAAATACAGTCTGAGGCTGATACTACTCCGGCAATAGCATCGACGAACAGCGCCAACGATGGTCGGGTCGGTGGTCCTGGTAGGAAGTCGAGAGCTTGTAAGTTCGAATGCGAGGTTGGGATGATGAATCCGAGGAATAGGGATTAACCATGACTCGACTCGTTTAGGCTTGGAGTGTAAGAAGCTCAAGATGAGGTGTGAGGTATTTCCAGGAGATAGAAAGTGCCGGCACTGTCTTCGTCGTAACGTCAGCTGCATCATCAAACGATCTTACGATGCTGATGTCGACACCGAGGATGATGTGACAAGAGCGCTTGAAGCGTACGAGTACGTGCGAAAGTCATTGGATGGGTTCCTTCTCGGACCGCTGATGCCTGCAAAAGGAAGATAGACTCGATGCGCTCGGAGATAGAGCAGATGAACAGCAAACTTGACGCGGTGCTAGCAGAGACGTCTAGGCTCCAAGCTGAGTCGGCAGCAAACGGAACTCGCCAGCAGCTCCAAACACAAGGCCAATATCAGGATCTCCCAGCACCTCTGTCCCACGATGATCCTCCGTCTGTCCCGTCGCATCCATCGGTTGCTCAACATAGCGGCCCTCCATCTGGAACACCTGGATATATGACAAGTCCCGCTGGCATATCCTGCAGAGAGGATAACACGCACATGGCCATGACGCGAGAGAACTCTCCAGACCCGGTATCTCATAGCGACCCAAGCAATGGGTCGGTAAATGTTGAGGATCCAATGGGCAGTCTGTACGAGGTGACGCGGCTTCGGAATATCCGTAGCAACAAGTCGAAAATGACTAGGCCGCTCCCAGAAGGCCAAGAACAGCTCAACGATTTCATTTCCAGAGGGGTCATCGCTGAGGCGGAGGCTGAGGAGCTTTACGAGATGTAAGTCTTCTAGCTGCAAGCAACGAACGAGGTAGCTGACAACCAAGCTAGCTTCCATACCTCGTTAAACCACTATCTATGGGTTGGTCTCGAACAAACGCATCCATCCTTCATCTCAGTTCGACGGTCCTCCGAGCTTCTGACCGCAACAATTCTAGCCGTGACTGCTCTCCACATCCCGACCTCCGCAGCGGCAGCAACATTCGATATATGCTACAAGGAGTTTCTGTCTCTCATATCCTCTTCCATGTTCTCCCGATACCACTCCATAGATGACGTCCGCGGCCTCTGCATCGCCGCATTCTGGATGTCCGAAGTATCATGGAAGCTGTCCGGACATGCCATCCGTATCGCTACGGAGTTGAACATCCATCAGTCCTTCACAGCAGCCTTGGACGGAAACAAAGAGCATTTCCTGCGAGCTAGGCTGTGGTACATGCTATATGTATGCGACCACCACTTCAGCATCGCCTACGGACGCCCGCCCATGATTGCCGAGAGCATCCAGATTCGAGAACACGAGCTTTTCCTAGCCAGCCCGTTCTCGAACGCCTTGGACGCAAGAATCCTAAGCCAGGTCAACCTCATGCAAATCCTCACGCGGGTGTATGACCGCTTCGCAGAAAGAAAGCTGCCGGCCCTCAACGAGATCAGGGGCAGGTTCGGGTCCGCCCGAGACCCCGTAATCGGATTGACAAGCGGGACCAACAGCTTCTCACAAGGCAGAGCAGACGCAACTGACCAGTCTTCCAGCAACGACCCTTCCACCGCCATGCTGGTCGAGTCCGACTTTGAAGCCCTGCGCTTGTTCAACCTAGAAATCGACCAGTGGCGCATGCGCTGGCACGCCCGCCAAACGCGGAATTTCTGCATCGGCAGCTTCCCTCCGCTGGGCATCATACTCTACTCTTACTTTGCCAAGCTCCAAATCAACTCGCTGGCCGTCCGCGGCGTCTCCCTCGCAGGTTCGTCGCAAGACCAGTTCCTCTCCACGGAACGCAAAGAGTTTGCGAATTTGGCTGTCTCTGCCGCCGTGAGCATCATCACGTTCGTCCTGGAGGAGGACGACATGCGTCGGGCGCTGGTCGGCACGCCGTTGTATGTGCACACGATGATTGCGTTTGCGAGCGTGTTCTTGATGAAGGTGGCGACGCGGTGGAACTCGGTCATGGGGCTGAAGGTGGAAAAGGAGTATGTCAGGAGGCTTCTGGGTAGGATGATTGGGGTGCTGAAGAGCGCCGTCACGTCGGATCGCCATGTTTTGAAGCATATTGCGACGGGCTTGGAAAAGATGCTGGAGAAGATGGAGGAGTCGAGGCAACGGCGGCAGAATTCTGAGAATGTGGGAGCAGGACGCGGGCAGATGGATGGGCCGGCAGGCGTTGGTATGATGGGCAGCTTTGGAGGACATCAATATGGAGTCGGCTATGAAGTCAGCCCAAGTGCGAGTAGAGGAGTTGACGCATTCTCGCGACCTGCGGTAGATGCGGGCGGTCTGATGGGTGCGCACCTAAATACCCCAGCGACGTGGGGAGCTGGCGGGTTGGGTCAAACACCTCACCAGCCTGGGGACAGCTCTTACTTCGGCGACGGACTCAACTTGATGGATGATAACTTGATCTTCGAAGCATTTGGAACGGGATCCGCAAACGATGTGTACAACCTTCTATCTAGTCAATTTTCTTCTGGATAGGGCTCTGTTTCTGTCACACAACAGGGAACACCAAATCTGTCTACAAAAGTCGTGTTGACTTTCTAGCTTTTCTACAACGATTGCCCGCATTGAAATCATTCTTCATCGGCAGAGTCGCTAGGCCAGAAGAACCAAGACAGGACAATAAAGAACTTCATCACCGCCGCAGTCCATAGCGCGCCCGCGATGCCAAATGAACTATGCGCGAACAAACCTCCGCAAATGGCCCCGACGAGCAGCAGCACAGGCGCGCCGACCCTGCGGTTCCGCTCCGCGTTGCGGACCGAGAACAGCTCGGCGTCGGAGAACAGGTCGCAGTAGATGCTCGTCAGCACGACGCTGGTGAGGGCATTGTACTTGAGCGCGCGGCTCGTGACGGCCTGGCCGCAGCTCTGGAAGGCGATGAGCGCGATGGGGACCAGCACGTTCCACGCGATCTCGTCCTTGCCGGCCGCGGGGCCGAAGGTCAGGATGACGGCCGCGGCGGTGCACAGCAGCGTCTGCAGGATGAAGGACGCGCAGAGCACCCAGCGGCGCTTCGGGGAGAAGAAGCGGTGGAAGCGGCTGAAGACGAAGGAGCCCAGGCAGAAGGAGCCGAGCGAGGTGGCGGACTTGATCCAGCGGGTGGATTCGGTGGGGGCGGCGAGGCCGAGGCCGATGTAGACGGTGTTTCCTGGGTGTTTGTGTCAGTCGAGGGCGAAACAGGAAACAATTTTTTTTTTTTTTTTTTTTTTTTTTTTTTTTTTGTCTGTTGCTGTGGGGGCCGTTGAGGAAACACGAGGAAAGAGGATGTACCTGTTTGCATTGAGACGAAAGAGCCCCAGATGGAGATGGAAGAGCTGTCGAGAAGGCCGGTGATGATGTAGCACGCCAAGAGGACGAGGTCGGCCCAGTCGCGCTGCACGTCGGTGGTCAACTTCTTGCGGAGGGACTTTGTTGGCTTCCTGCCGCTGCCCAGCAGAGGCTGCTCCTCATCGGCATGGGCGTGCGAGTCGCCGTTGACGACCGGTACCGAGTTGGTGACGGAGCCGTAGTTCCCGTTGGAGCTCATCTTGGATGCGGAAGACTGAAGTGAAAGCTCTCGCGTCTCTCGGGTCGAACAGTCCAATGACTGACTAGTGTAGAATCGGGAAAAGCAAAAGAAGCCCGGCTGTCTGCAGAGAAGACGGGCGATGTTAACAGACAGATATCGTCACTGGGCGAGCTATGACCTAATTAGGGGAACCGTTACCCACTGTAAAGCTCTGACCGGGTGATGAAGCGTTGGCGTTATAAATTAAATAAGGTCGGATGTTACAAACAGACAAGACGGGACGCGCAATGTGCCAGTGCCGGTCTGCCGCGGTCCACACTGAGATTAGAGATCGCAGGGTCGCTCGCGAAATGTTTCCAGGTTTTCCAGCCTGGTTTATATGGGCCAGGGAGGATGCCGAGAAGGAAAAGGTGCGGATAGCAATGCCGGAGAAAAGCCAAGAGCTCACCCCGCCCTTGAGACGACGCTGGTGTCCCTTGGTGTTTTTGTGTTGTGTCTGCTTGATGAGGGGTGAAGGGTCAATGGGCACTAAAGATAGGAAACCAAGAGGGGGAAATCAATCATTGGAGAAGAGCTCGAGGTACCGTTAACTGAGATTGGATGAGATGTGCAAAAGGGCTTGCTGCAGTGAAACCTTTGATCATCCCAGGGCCTGGCCGGGCCAGCTTCTTCTCCAGGATCTCCGACATATTCCCCGTCCAATTGCAGCGGGATGTGGTCCTTGGAGTTAAGCTCAATCCGCAGGAACCTGCGTCATGACCGCTGCAGAGTGCCCCTCGAGTGGATTCGCTCCAACAGTCTTGCACGGATATTTCAGTGAGACGCAAGTGAGAAGCAGTGAGAAGAGAGCAAGCAGGCATTGAGAAGCGCTGGGGCTAATCCGATTAGAGTGCATCGGCAACTGATGTATGTCCCCTTCACCCCTCTCGCTCCCATCATTCTCCCCCTCTCGCTCCCGTCATGTCACTAAAGAAAGAAGAGCTGAGTGGTTCGCCGTGGTTCATCCCCGCACGATGAGCGCTCGTCCTATGCCGCGTTTCACTCTCTGGCGGGGATGGCGGCTCAGCTCCGCCAGGTTACGGCCTCTTGTAAACAGAGTGAGCCTGCTAGTCAAGCTAGAGGTGTAAGAGCACGTCGCAGTGTGCCTCGAAGCTACTACCTTGCTATGCTGCTGTAGCTGCGGGGGAGCTCCGGATTGGAAGCTCGGGGGTTCGGCATGTGCGATGGATGAATTGGATTGGTGTGCGTGGTGTAGCAGACGGATATGCATGGTACGTGGGAGACTGAACAGAGAGAGTGTGTGTGTCGACCTGCAGCGATGGGCAGCCGAGGTGATGCGCCGATGACTTCGAGCTCTACCTCGCCCTTTGTAAGCTCTGTGTTTACGTACCACATCTTTCCACGGCCTGCGACAATGGGTAAGGCCGCGGAAGAGGTCATGGCAAGGTTCCTGGACTGGCATGACATGACATGATTTCAGGAGGAGAGGAGGGCTGACGAGATCAGAGGAGGTATAAAATCTGCCTCTCTTCCCATAGTCACAAGCCCAATTGCGAGAGCCCTTCCTGCATTCGCACTCTCTCTTTTCTCTTCTGTCTCCTCCGAAGCCTGACAGCGTCTCCATCGCGCCCGTTTCCCTGCCTCGAAGCTCTTTCTTGGCAGCGATCAAGCGTCACATCAAGCCCCCCTCACACCCCGTCAACCCCATCAGCATCAGCGCCCAGCCATGCAGCTCACCCAACCCACGGCAGCCAAGCTGCTGCTCCTCTGGGCGTCCGTCGCGACTGCGATGCCGCACTTTGACAGCCCGCGCGAGCGCCTGCTCCGGGGCATGAAGATCCCCGCGAGCTACCGCAAGAAGAGCGCCTTCGCCGACGAGTCGAACGCGAAGAATCCGTACACCCCGGGCTTCCGGGACCCCAACGACGGCGCCGTCGACTCGGTCGGCGACGGGCTCGACCCGCTGCCTTACCGCAGCGGGCTGGGCTCGTCGGTCCTGGGGCCGTGGAACAAGGAGCGCTCGCGCCAGAATCCGGACCTCGTGCGCCCGCCGTCGACGGACCACGGGAACATGCCCAACATGCGCTGGAGCTTTGCGGACTCGCATATTAGGATCGAGGTGAGTTACGAAGCTGCCAATTGGCTCTTGAGGGGCTTCAATTGAGTCACTGGGAAGCATGCGCAACTGACATGGTTACTCTGCAACAGGAGGGCGGCTGGACGCGCCAGACAACCGTCCGCGAGCTGTCGACCAGCGTCGAGCTCGCCGGCGTGAACATGCGCCTCGGCGAGGGCGTCATCCGCGAATTGCACTGGCACAAGGAGGCCGAGTGGGCGTATGTCCTGGACGGCGAAGTCCGCGTGACGGCGCTCGACTACGAGGGCGGCAACTTCATCGCAGACGTCGGCAAAGGCGATCTGTGGTATTTCCCGAGTGGTGTTCCTCACTCGCTGCAGGGATTGAGCCCCAACGGCACCGAGTTCCTCCTCATCTTTGACGACGGCAGGTTCTCTGAAGAGTCTACCTTTATTCTCTCTGACTGGCTTGGTGAGTGTTTCTTGCGGATGTTTTCTTTGCCCTGGCCCGTCAGAGGCTTGTACATCCAAACGTCGCTCTGCAATGGCTTTGGTCACCAAAACACCATGGAGAGCAACGGACCAACACCGTGAATGAAGCCCACTAACACGCACTTCACAGCCCACACCCCCAAATCCGTCATTGCCGAAAACTTCCACCTCGACCCCGAGATCTTCAAGCACATCCCCGAGGGCGAGAAGTACATCTTCCAAGGCACCCTCCCCGGCCCCATCGAAGACGAGCGGCCGACCGGCAAGCACGCCAAAAAGTCAAAGTACAACTTCGTGCACTCGATGCTCGCGCAGGAGCCCGAAATCACCTCGGGCGGCGAGGTGCGCATCACCGACTCCAAGAACTTCCCCATCTCCAAGACGGTCGCCGCCGCGCACCTCACGATCCAGCCGGGCGCGCTGCGCGAGATGCACTGGCACCCCAACGCCGACGAGTGGTCCTTCTTCATCAAGGGCCGCGCGCGCGTCACTATCTTCGCTGCTGAGGGCACCGCGCGCACGTTCGACTATGTCCCCGGCGACGTGGGCATCGTGCCGAAGAATATGGGGCATTTTGTCGAGAATATCGGCGACGAGCCGATTGAGATGCTTGAGATCTTTAGGGCGGATGAGTTCCGCGATTTCTCCCTCTTCCAGTGGATGGGCGAGACGCCCAAGAAGCTTGTGATTGATCACCTGTTCAAGGGTGACAAGGAGAATGGCGAGAAGTTCTGGAATGAGGTGAAGGAAGCGCAGAAAGATCCTGTGACCAAGTACAAGAAGACTGATGTCAAGGCTGGTGGTTCAGTTCTCGACGGAGCTTCTGATGAGTTGTAGAGGAAAAGCAAAAGTGTCTTTGCAGTTGTATAGTAAAGTACCCGCATATTCATAATCAAGAAAGCATGTTACCCAAGTTTGAACTCAGTTGCAATGATTATTTTCGTATCAATCCATACCTCACGCCCTCAATGTAAGCCGCGAACATATCATGCCACACTAGTGTACAATTCCATCGACGAACGCCTCGCTCAGTTCAACTCGTGGTTCGCCTTGATCGCCTTTGACTTCCCAGTATCCAACACCACGGCCGGGTCGTCGGGGTTACCGTCACGCGACACCTCGTTTCCGTTTTTCGTCTCGATAGTAGTCCTGTGCATGCCATGTTAGCTAGCCATCACCTTCCAGCACTCACAGTGATCTGCGACTTACTTCTCCTCCTTGACATCGAGGACTTTGCCCTCCGGGTTACCATTGCCCCATTGCCAGCTGACCTTGTCGCCCTTCTTAGGGCCCTTCTTGGTCTTCTTGCTGCTGCCGTTCTCCTTGTCATCTCCCTCCTCGTCGTCATCCTCCATCTCCTCGTCTCCGTCATCCTCGGCCTCTTCCTCCTCCTTCTCATCCTCTCCGTCCTCGTCTTTCTTGGTGGCCTTGCCCTCGCCTTGGCGGGTCTGTCGCTTCTTGTTGGATCCGTTCTCCTCACCGGACTTCTTGCGCTTGTCGCCAGTCTTCTCTTCATCAGCCTCCTCTTCATCAGCCTCCTTGCCCTCGTCGGCCTTCTCAGCCTCCTCCTCCGCCTCTTCCTCATCGTCTACGTTCTTGCTACCATTCTTCTCCTTCGTGGATCCATTGGATTCCTCCTTCTTGGACCCATTGGACTCGGCCTTCTCCTCGCCACCGTCCTTGCTCTTCGCAGACTTGCCGTTCTGCTCGCTGCCCTCCTTGCCTTGGGCCTTGAGGAAGTCGTGGCCCCAGTTCTTTAGTGACGCGTACGACTTGGTCTTCTTCACCTCCTCGGGTGACTTTTCGCTGTTGCCCTTCGCCTCTTGGGCCAGGTGGCGCTTGCTGAATCTACTGTTAGCAATCGACTACACCAACAACAAGACCGTCACGTCGCACTCACCAGTACGCAACGACCTTGCGCATGTGCTCAACCTGGTCGTCCGTGTACTCTTCCTCCTTCTTGTCGGGGTTGGCCTTCAGGATCTCCACAATATTGCGCCCGCTGTCATGTCCGACTGTCTCCCCGTCGCCCTCCGCGTCGTCCTTGGGCCAGCCAGCGCTGTTCGAGTCGCCTGACTTGAGCCACGACTCCAGCTCCTCGGCCGTCATGTTGACGTACTCGTTGAACTCGGAGATGACCTCTTCCTTGCCCTTCATGTTTGCGGTATGTGTATGTACGTAACGTTTCGGTGGTGATATCGATAAGTGGTTGTTTTAATCCAATTTGCAGCAGGGCGCAGAGTCACAGTGGCAGTCAATAGTGGAACGAACAAGCCGGCTCCTTGCGGGGGAACGGGTGGGAGGGCGCAAAAGCTATTTGAACGAAACTCAATTGACTTCCACGCCTTCTTCCCTCCCCTTTGCTGCCTGTGTGTCACTCTGACGCTTTCCGACACACCAAACTCCTCCTCCTGTCCTTGAGACGGCCCACAGATGCGTTCACACATGGGTCCTTTCTTTCGCCGTTCGCGGCCAATTCGTCATGGTGTCTCGTGTGGAATGGTGTCGTCATAGAAACACGATCGATGCCCCTTGCATAAGTGGCTGCGCTGGGTCGCACTGGTGCAACAGCACTTCGACAAAAGAAGAACGAAGCTTATTTTAGGCGGAAAGCTGGAGGAGGGGGAAAAGTCAAAAAAGCGATGGGGAAGAAAAGCTCAGCTCTCAGCTTGCTTTTCCCCTCATGTCCATTGGCCAATTAGAACCCGGTGAACAAGGGAGAGCTCCGTGAGCTTTCGATTGCTTGTTTCAGCTACGAGGTCTACAGTCAAGTGTCACGCCGCGATTGCCCTGTTCGGATGCGGCGTCAGTGTCACGGCAACTTTGAATTGCTGACTCGGCGCTCGTTCACTGGGAAAATGCTGTATTGGGTATAGAACATGTCTAGATGCCGCTCATGCTGCGGGCTTGGGCCTTTCTGGGGTTTGCATGTCTCACGTCAAATTATCCCGACATGTTCAAGCGCCAGGCACGGATTCCTCATGTACCCCAAATTATTCTTCCTCATTGCTGCCCGTTGCCGTCGTTGGCACCATGTCTCAGGTGAACAGGCAACCGGTCTGGTCGGTCTTGACAACGTTGTCGAGGTTGGAGCCGAGTTGCCCGGCGCGCGCAATCCACGTCTGGCCGAAGGGTCATGGTGGTTAGCATATGTCTTTCTGGGCGACGGTTGGCGGTGGTGTTGCAGCGACTTACATCGAGGACCTCATCGGCGGGGTTCTGTTCGCGACTGAGCACGAACAAGGTGCTGAAGTTGTAGGCTTGCACGACGGCGAAGTCGGGGGTGTAATCTGCACAGTGTCGTCAGCCAATCTGCGCAACGAGACCCGTTGACACGAGCTGGTTCACTCACCTTGGACGATGTAATTCGGGCCCGCGCAGCTGGGGGCCGGTTGACCGGGGAATTGCACGCGGAGAACGCCCTTGGCGCCGTACGACGGATCGGCGGGCGCGGCGGTTCCAAGAATGTTGACCGGGGTGGTGTCGGCCTGGCAGGTGTTGTTTACCAGCACGGTGCCGTTGTCCTGGGGGCACAGGTCAGTGGTGATCCTCGTATCGCATCGTACGAGAGATTAAACGAGTTCCTCCGAGTCTCAGGGGCGGAAACTCACGTTGAGAGAGTACTGCGCAAAAATGCACTTGCACCCGGCTGTGAAAGGCGCAACGGTTCCGGCGACCTGGTACCAGCGGCCGAGATAGCTCTCGAGATCGAACGCGGAGTCCGGCGTGGGGTAGTAGCATTCCCCGTCCCAGACGGCGGGCACGACGTTCGGGATCGTCGTCTCGGAGGTGCCGTTGGTCGTTGCGGCTGCCGTTGCGACAGCGGCGCACGAGAGGAGGGTGGGCAGGGTCGAGGGCCGCATGGTGGAAGTCTGACAATTCGTTTGCTTGGAGTAGAACAAGTCTAATAACTTTCGGCGGCACGTACTACGTCGCAAGGAGCTGGTGTTCGTCTCAATTGAGCGTGAAGAGCAAGGGAGGGCAAAACGGTGGCAGTGCCGTTCATCCCATCATTCCCTTTTAACTATTTGGCCATGACAAGCCTCCATCGTAAAATCGTGCCATGGCGGTGTTGTTCTGTGTAATGATGAACACACGCCAATGCTTGTCCTCGCAAAACTCAAGTGTCCGAGGTCCGAAGTCAACAAAGCAGCATTTGACATCTGGCTCTCCAAATACTCTCAAAATCATGAGAGCCCGCCGTCGCCCTGCAAAGTGGTGACGACATTAATGCCTCTTTGGGTCACGAACTCGCTGTACGCCAAGTCCGTTGGCTGCGTGGCCCAGGAGCGATGTGGTGCTGTGGTTCCTGAGCGTCCATTCAGCAGCTGTTGGGTAGTCAAGTAAAATGACAGTCCCCTGACGGTCCCTTTTTTAAGTGGGCTTTCTGGCTGAAAGTCCCGTGTCGATCGTCGTGGCCATGCTGCTGCGGTGCCGCTTCTCCGCACCTCGTGGGCCTGCCAATCGGCGATTTCAGCTTTGGATCTGAGATGGTTGGTGGTAAAGTATAGGCAGGGTCGAGCTAGTGCCGAGGCTGTTGTCTAACTGCGATTTCGTCTTCGTTGAGAGAAGCAATTGACATCGCATTCTCAAGGACGGCGAACTCAGTTAGACCTACAGCAGTGAATACTTCAATCCCATCTGCAGGTCCTTATTCACGACAAAAGGCTGACGATCCAAAGTGGGCCGGGATTATATCATGACTCGCCTTAAACATAGCACTCATCGTACAGTGACTTGATAAGCTGTAGAAATTCCAGGCTGTTTCGATTAGAATGCAATCAGAGTTAGCAGCGAGCTCCTTACCACTAAAGAAAACCAGAACTAGACGCCCACAAGCTTTTTACTGCCTTTCGTGCCATAATCGGCCGGAACAGAGGTATACTGAGCTCTTAAGCCCGCTTTTCATGGCGCTTCTTCATATGCTTACCTGCCTCGCCGATGAGAATATCGTTGGGTTCCCCAAAGATATCTACATAGATGTTCATCAAAGGCCCTATTCCAGACTCTTGCGCAGTGTTCTTCATAATCTTAAAACCATTACCCCACAAGGCTTTGGGAGGTGCGTTTCGCATCGATTCGGGAAAATCCTCACCGTGCATGCTGACTCTGCCACGAACGACATGAAGAACATGCAAAGTCAAACACTATCGATCTTTCTGCCCCGGCGATACATCTGACTGATACGTTCGGATCACGAGTGCCAGTGCCTACTTAGTGATCCGGATACCTGTCATTTCGACTGGATGCTACGCGTGGTGCTCTGCCGTGTCTTCGTCCTTGAAGCGGCACCCGTGTGTCTGATATGTGGCATTGACGGCGCCTCTCATGGTGAGAAGTATCTAGTCGTCTTGACACCGCAGTCCATGGAATCTCTGATCAAGTGCTGTGAATAGATCATTCTGATGGTCCGGCCTCTAAACTGACAAGTTCAGGAGAGATGAACCTTTTGGCTGGGCTGGCTGAGGCAGGAACTGCATGTGACTCTGGTAACAGAAACTTAGTCCATTCCCTAGGTTCGATTAAACTGGGGCATGGTGGCAGACGAATCAACAAACACACATAACATAGTAGAACTCAGGTTTACGGCTAGTTGAACAACCGTCATCCTGAGTTGACAGGCATGTACTGGATGTTGATGTAAGTGCGTTCTACCTTCCGAGACTGAGCCGTGAGCTCGGCCGCACTTGTGGGGCCGCCCCGAAATCCCCGGGGGATAAGGATACCCGCAAACAGCGACCTGCATTTCCGAAGTCGCATCTGCTGTCAAGTTTGGCACTCGTTAGCCGGGAACGTGCCCTGTGTTCATGCGTCCAAAATTGCCGCTACCCAATACTTGACGATCTCAAACCCCAACCGCGAAACTATCGTTCCAGGAATCTGTCTGGACTGACCCAGAAGGCGGATTTGAGAACCACGAAGATGTCGGAAAATATCCAAGGCCCCGGCCTCCTTTTCGTGAACTCCAAGATTATTCGCCCAGATCTCATTGACGAGGAGGTGTTCTTCAAGTGGTACGATGAAGACCACATTGCGGAGATTCTCGCAACGAGCGGTATCCAGTCCGCCTTTCGGTTCCTTGACGTTAATGTTGGCAACGTCGAACGGCCGTTTCTAGCCATGTACCCGATGATAGACATTGGTTTCACGAAAACCGAGGAGTTCCGCAACATCAACGTCTCGAGCGACATGCTTCCAAACGGCGGCCCCATTTACGACCTTGCAGACTTTGATGTGCGGTACTACAAGTTGGTCCAGGTATTTGATCCTAAGAGGAAGGGCAAGGGTAAGCAGCACACGCTCGCTCATGTAAAGTGCCTAGCTGAGAATTCCAGGTATCGTAAAAACGATCATTGCAGCTCAGTACGAGCTGGGTGAGCTCACCGAAGATGAGTTTGACAGCTGGTACAGGAAAGAGGTGAGTTTGGTCGATGCAGATATGGGGACAATGTCACTGATATTACATAAATGAAGCATCTTGATCAGCTGGCCGGTGTGCCAGGATATCTACGAACAACGAGGTTCAAACTCGCCCTTGCTCGGTCTAACGCGCAGTCCCGCGCGCTGAAAGGCCTGTCGACGAATGATGAGCCCCCACCGCAACCTCCAAAGTGGCTGGCAGTTCACGAATTCGAGTCTGAAGAAGTTGACTTGGTGTCACTCAGGCAGCGGACTGATACGGAGTGGACTCGTAAGATCAACAGTGTTTCGAAATCGCGCGTGTTTCCAGTGTTCAAGATCGCCAAGGCTCATGGCGCAGGTGACTGGTTTCATGATGTGGCTGAGTAGAAACTCGGGCGGATGTGCTTTTCATCGTGTGTTTTATAGGATACCTAGTTGTGGCACGTTTTCATTACGCAATGTCCTTGCTTTGAACAATGGTGCCAAATGCGTCTCCAATCTCACTCAAGGCGACCTTGGTAAGCTGGGCAGCATCAACCCCGGGAATGTCACGATCACCAACCGCATCCTCCGCCACGAGAACGTCAAAGCCGCGCTGGGCAGCTTGTCTCGCCGTCGTAGAAACACATACATGCGCCTAGAAAAATGATTAGCCCCCCACGTCTCTCACTACTCTCCCCATCAAACTCACCATGTATCCCGTCAACACAATCTTCTTCCCCTGCTCCCCCCTCCCCTCAAGATGCTCCTGCAAATCCGTCCCGGCGAACGATCCAGGGAAGTTCTTGTGCACGACCTTCTCTCCATTTTTGGGCGCGAGCTCCTCAAATTCCTCAGAAAGCCGCGTACCGGGCGTGAAGACGGGTGCCCCCGCCGGCGTGTCGTGGACGACGTGCACGATGCTGCCGCCGGCGCTGCGGTACTTCTGCAACAAGGAGGCGATGGCCTTGCGGGAGGTCGCAACGTCGGACACGGCGAGCTTGCCCTCGGCGTACTCGTTTTGGGCGTCGATGATGATGAGTGTGCTGTCGGTGGGCGTAGCCGTTGAGGGCGGGGCGCCGATGATTTGGCGGAACGAGGTTGCTGAGGCCATTGCGCGTGTTGTGTCTACGGGTACTAAAGCGGCTGTGATTGACAAATACGGAATCAAGAAACAGGATCAATAAGCTTATTTTTATGGAAGAAACAATATTCAATCACTGACAATTGTGAGATTTTGAATCATTCTGCGGAAGGGGATCTCCGCACTTTGGTCATCGAACCCCCCGCATTTGTCATCGATCCCGTCATCGAACCCCGGTGAGTGGAATGAGACAAAACACGACCCGCCCCGATTCCGAAGGCTTGTGCCGAGGGCGAAGGATCTTGACAGTCTTCGATCGGGGCCCGAGAACACCGGAGCCGGAAGGTGAAGATCTCCGGATACAGTTGACCCGGCGCCGTTCGACGATAAATGCTTCGGCAACACAAGGATCATGGAATGACCGATACCAGCCTGTGAGTCGACAGTCGTCGGAGCTGGGTGCGCCAATTCTTGCGGTCCATGTCCAAAACCTGCAGCTAGGCAATAATTGGATACGGAAGATAGAGGTAAAATGCATCAAGGCCAAACTTTTGACTAAATTCCTAAACAGACGAAAAAGCACGTTACAGTGCTCAATGGTGACTAGATTTCTAGAACACTTGCACCATTATCCGGTTTAGCTCTTGAGTGTCTGCGTTACAGGAATACGACGCCTGGAATCGAACATCGCAACTGTAAGCTTAGGGCCTCGCCTGCATCGACAGTCAGATAGCCCAAGTAGCGGACACATGTTTGCACCATAATATACGCCTTTGAACAGACGCAATGATGAGCACTTTCTCGGCAAACCCACCGAAACTTGCATGAAAAGACTCCCGGACTGGTACGAGTTCAACCAAAAATGATTTAACCCAGGCATGTGGTAATTAGGGCAGTCCAAACTGCGTCAACAACGCTTGTGGAGGCCACTCTCCCTTTGCCTGCTCATCGAGACCGCCTTCAAACGTGTAAGTTCCCGACCCAACCGTCTTCTCTTCGCTCCCATCCGGCAGCGAGACTGTAGCCGTGACATTCAGCGGAACTGTCACCTCCAATACCAATCTATCACCATCCTTGATCTCCCATTTAGCCCGAACCTGACCACTCGGGCTCAGGTACTCAACCTCCGCATGCTTCAAACCCCCTCCCGGTCTCGGCCTCACCAGAAACTTCGTCCAGCCAGGCTCCAGCGGCGACAACCCCCCAATGCTAGCATGCATCCAGTTCGCCACGCTGCCAAGAGCATAGTGGTTGAAACTAGTCATCTCGCCAGGATTAATCGTGCCGTCCTCCAGCATACTATCCCACCTCTCCCACACCGTCGTGGCCCCTTTGGTGACCGGGTACATCCACGATGGACATTCCTTCTCGAGCAACATGCGGTACGCGTGCTGCGTG